TGTTTCCAATTGTTGTCCTTCACACGATTTCGCAGCCTAGAATACACCGCGTGTACACGTGGCTATTTTGCTGAATTCCAAACGTGTCGGATATCATGACAAAGCGTTAGTCAGCACCAGCTTTTCCTCTCTCGTCCTTTTTTTTTATCCTTTCTCGCCATCGCTCATACGATGCGTTCGCCTTTTAAACTCGTTGCCAATTCGAGGAGGAATTTCGGTTGTTGCGTAATGTCCGAAAGTCACAGAGAGAGGCAACGCGAAGCCCGGGTATGTCGCCATCTATCGAGGTCGCGAATAAATGGCACGCGAAGTTTTGTCAACTTCTGCCGGGATGACATGAGTCTCTTGTTCATGCTAGTCTGTTTATTCGATACCACAGCGCGGCTTCTCTCTCTCTCTCTCTCTCTCTCTCTAATATACCTCGTCCCTCCTCATACTATCTCCTCCCTCCACCCTTTTGCCCAACCCGTCAGCCACCATCGTTTCGTTGCTGTTTCGGTAGTTGCGATCATGCTGATGCACAGTGGTTCTCATTTTTTTTTTTTACACCCGCCTATAAATCTCCCCGTTCGTTCATCCCGCTACGCGTAACGCACGTGCGTCACGTGTGTGGTAAAAAGGCAGAGCCGTTCGTTGTCTTCCTCCTTTTCTTAACGCGACAACGCCTGAAATGGAATCGTGCGTAACACACGTCGACATTGATGACACGGACTTTCTATGTAACTTGGTCACAAATGATTTACAAGTGACGGCGCTATTGTTTGTACGTTATGCATAATTGATGCCAATAACCGTTACGCGGAGCAGCACGTCACGCGAACGTTTGATACTTAAAAATTACAGAATTGCGCGTGAAAAAGTCAGCAAAAAGATACGTGCCAAAAATCCAATTTTCATTTTGTTTCTTTTTTTTCTTTCTTTCTTTTTTTTTTTTTGACGAGTTTCGATGATTTCGGTCGATACGCGTTATCGAATAATTGAGTTATCGTCCGATTTTTAATCCCTCTTTCAAACATATTTATATTTCCAATATTTCAAATGTACACATGCAGGAACGCGCGCGCGTAAGATTGATTGACAGATTTATGACTTGTTAATTCTGGAAAACGTCGGAAATTTCATATTTCGTGTTTTCTGCTAATAGATTTTCTCAACAGAGATTTTTGCAACATAAACGTTAAAATGATTTATAAATTCTCGAAATTATACGTAGCAACGTTTCTCCTCCCTCTCTCCCCTCCCCCTCGCCCGAGACGTTAACAGATCTTGAGAGCAATCCGGAAAAGAATCGCGCCGTTTACGGTTTACACCGAGAGGATCTGTTCGGTTCGCCGAGGTGGAGGAACACACATTCGCGAGTTCGCAGGAACGGCTCTCTTCCAGCGCGGAGTTTCTCGGTCCACGTGACCGTCGGGACACCGCGTGGCCGCGAGAGAGAGCCCGGATTAGGGAACCCCTGCTGCGCGGCATTAACGGTACGTATTCTCGGGATGGGCG